TGCTGGGGAGGCCAGCAGAGAGGGCACTCACCGCAGACCAGAATAATAGCGCGCCATACGTGGGGGGCTGCGATCTGCGAAATTGTTGCCACTTTCGAGGGCTGCTGGGGAGGCCGGCAGAGAGGGTACTCACCGCAGACCAGAATAATGGCGCGCCATCCCTGGGGGGCTGCGATCTGCGAAACTGTGGCCACTTTCGAGGGTTGGTGGGGAGGCCAGCAGAGAGGGCATTCACCGCAGACCAGAATAATGGCGCGCCATCCCTGGGGGGCTGCGATCTGCGAAACTGTTGCCGCTTTCGAGGGCTGCTTGGGAGGCCAGCAGAGAGGGTACTCGCCGCAGATCGGAAAAATAGCGCGCCATCCCTGGGGGGCTGCGATCTGCGAAACTGTTGCCACTTTCGAGGGCTGCTGGGGAGGCCAGCAGAGAGGGTACTCACCGCAGACCAGAATAATGGCGCGCCATCCCTGGGGGGCTGCGATCTGCGAAATTGTTGCCACTTTCGAGGGCTGCTGGGGAGGCCAGCAGAGAGGGTACTCGCCGCAGATCGGAAACATAGCGCGCCAGCCCTGGTGGGCTGCGATCTGCGAAACTGTTGCCAATTCGAGGGCTGCTGGGGAGGCCAGCAGAGAGGGTACTCACCGCAGATCAGGATTAGAGCTCGCCATTCCTGGGGCGGCTGCGATCTGCGAAACTGTCGCCACTTTCGAGGCTTGCTGGGGAGGCCAGCAAAGAGGGAGACCTCGCCATCCCTGGGGGGCTGCGATCTGCGAAATTGTCGCCACTTTCGAGGCCTGCTGGGGACATCAGCCCTCGCCATTCCTGGCGGGGTGCGATCTGCGAAACGGTTGCCACTTTCAAGGCTTGCTGCGGATCCCCGCGTAGGTACGTCTTACAGTGGACTCAGATTAGACCTCGCCATTCCTGGGGGGCTGCGATCTGCGAAACTGTTGCCACTTTCGAGGCCTGCTGGGGACCTCAGCCCTCGCCATCACTGGAGGCGTGCGATCTGGGAAACTGTGGCCACTTTCGAGGCCTGCTGGGGAGCCTTGCGGAGGTACGTCTTACGGGGGATTCAGATTAGACCTCGCCATCCCTGGGAGATTGTTTTTTTATCCTCTGGGGGGTAACGCTCGTTACCCGGGCCTCTCCCCCCCCCCCCCCCCCGTAACGGTAACGCTCGTACGCGGGGGGGGTCTCGGTCTTCCCCTCCAACATGCTGGTGCCCGAAGGCATGCGCACTGTGGTGTGGTGGTCGCAGGCGCACTGTGGGCGCTCGCAGGCCATTGCGGCGCTCGCATGCGCGATGCTGGTGCTTGCGGGCTTTGCGCTTGTACTCGAATCGCAAGCCACTGTGGTGCTCTCAGGCAGAGAGTGCTGCTCGCGCGCATACTATGGCGATCGCAGAGCGCCCCTGCTTCGCCATACCCCGCCCAGCCCAAGCGTTACCGTTACCCGGGGGGCACGACCCCCCCCCCCCCCCCGGGTAACGAGCGTTACCGGCCGGAATAAAAAAATGATCTTTGGGGGGCTGCGATTTGTGAAACTGTCGCCACTTTCGAGGCCTGCTGGGGACCTCAGCCCTCGCCATCCCTGGGGGGGTGTGATCTGTGAAACTGTGGCCACTTTCGAAGCCTGCTGCGGAGCCCAGCGGAGGTACGTCTTACGGGGGATTCAGATTAGACCTCGCCATCCTTGGGGGGCTGCTTCAGCGCCTTGCTGGAAAAAACGTAGTCTTCTTTCTCGCCTCACCTCTCTCGTCGTGGTCTTCTTCCCCTTGTAACCTTCTCTCTGCTGCTGCGGCTTCCCCTGCCCCTCGTCCTCACCCCCGTCCTTCTTCGAGCGTAGACCCTACAATCTCGTCCATCTGATCGCTACCCTCTGGGTCGTGCAGTATATGCGCACCCCATCTAGCGCGCACATACACACATCGCGCTTGCACTGTCGTTCTTCACGACGATACTCGCCGATTCATCGGGCCACTTGATGCAAATGGGTTGGGTACGTCGCAGGATAATTAAAGCGACTGTGCGCGGCGCTATGGCGAGAGCCATGTTTTGAAAACGACTCGTCCTCCATCCGTGAAGCTTTTCTAATATGTTTGAACGAATGTGCGCGGCGCCAAGGCGAGAGCCACATTTTGAAAACGGCCCGCCCTCCATATGTGAAGTTGCTGTCAGTGTTTAAGCTTCAGGGTCATACATTGTAAGGAAGTCTCAGGCCAAACGCCCGGGCCGCCCTACAAACTGGCCTCGGGCTGCGACCGGGATAAGTTCTGTATAAGGAAAAGGAATGGATGATGATGGTCTTGATGATGTTGACGATGATGATGCCGATGATGATGATGATGATGGTGATACTGATGATGGTGATGATGATGTTGATAATGATGATGATGATGATGATGATGACGACGATGACGATGACGATGACGATGATGATGATGATGATGATGATGATGGTGGTGGTGGTGGTGGTGGTGGTGATGATGGTGGTGGTGGTGATGATGATGATGATGATGATGGTGGTGGTGATGATGATGATGCTGGTGCTGCTGATGATGCTGATGATGATGATGCTGGTGCTGCTGCTGATGATGATGAAGATTATGATTACGATGCTGATGATGATGATGATGATGATGATGATGATGATGATGTCGATGCCAATGATGATGAAACTGATGGTGCTGATGCTGATGATGATGCTGATGATGGTGGTGATGCTGACGATGGCGATGTTGATAATGATGATGCTGATGCTGCTGATGATGCTGATGCTGCTGATGATGATGAAGATGATGCTGGCGATGATGATGCTGATCATCAGGAGGAGGCGGATGGTGGTGATGATGATGATGATGATGATGATGATGATGATGATGATGATGATGGTGCTGATGCTGCTGCTGCTGATGATGATCATGATGATGTTGATGATGCTTATCATGATGCTGATTTTGCTGATGATGTTAATGCTGATGATGGTGATGATGATGATGAGGAGGAGGAGGAGGAGGAGG